CCAGACGTGTAATTGTCCGAGTGCTTGACCACAATCAGAAAATTAGTATGCTGACGAGAAATATTAAATATCCAGTTGATGCATATTAAAAATAATGTAACATCAATATTATAATTTTGTACTCAACAATATAAATATAATATAATATATGGTATTATATAACAGTTACATTATTGAATACGAAATTACAACATTGATGTTATGTTATTTTCAGTTGATGTCAACTGGATAGATATTTAATAGCAAAAGATAACTAATTTAAATTGATCTTTAAAGTAAAAAGTATTTGAGATTAATTTAAATAAATAAAGTTTTTGTGTAACTGTCCGGACATAGATACTGTCCGGTCCCAGTAACTGGACATGTATGGTCGTCGACAGAACAGTTGCAACACTTTTTTTTCAATGAATTTTGGAATACAGCCTGCTCATCAAGCGATGATTTTTATTTATGGATCTATAAGTAAGAAACAATCGCTTTTCAAATCCTTTTTACTTCAAAGATCAATTTAAATTAGTTATCTTTTGTCATTAAATATCTATCCAGTTGACACCAATTAAAAGTAACATAACATCAATGTTGTAATTTCGTATTCAATAATGTTGAAAAAGTGGTACAACCGTTCTGTCGATGACTGTACCTATATCCGGACATTTACAAAAAAACTTTATTTATTTAAATTAATATTAGTCTTAAATAAACTTTTTAAAAGTAATATTATAATTTAATTGTAATCTTTAAATGCAATTAAATTATAATGCAGTAATAAGAAAATTTTGAGATTAATAATAATAAATTTTGTGTAAGTGTCCGGATATAGGTATAGTCCGGTCACTGAGATATTTACCTTAGATGTGACATGTATAAGATTCGTGTATAATATATGCCGCGCAAACAGCAAAACAGTTCGGACATCTTGCATCTCGCGGATGTGTATAATTTTCCATTTTGACTTGCATGTTTGCTCGTTTCGCGTGTTGTAAGTAGTAATGCGGGATGTATGATAATCGCCCTGAAAAATACCGGGTGTAGAATACAGAAATCGCTCAGAATTAAGTA